TCAACCTCTTCCCCTTCCTCCTCCTCCTCCCTCTCATTTCTCTTCTAATCTCCCTCTTTCCGGAGGTTAAGCTTCTCTCCTAGACCACTTTTTCTCTGCTATGACACTCTGCCTTACGGCTGCCGCAGAAAAGAGGCACCAGCCCAAGCATCACCTGAACCGCAAAGATTGTAAACCAAAGACTAAATCTTCCCTTCTTTAAACCTTCTTTCTGGGGATCTGTCATGGCAATGAGAAACCTGACTAACACACCACCCACCATGCTCAGAGATGTTCAGGCCACATGCCCCGGAACAGCAAGATACATAATACAATGGAAACAAACCAGCTAGTACAGTAAGTTGCTGTAAAGATCACCCAACTGGATATGATTTGGTGACATCAATGAATAAACTGCAGTTGCCCATGTGAAAACTAGTGAGTCTCAAAATAAACTTTCAATCAATTAAGTTCGAGAAGCATTTAGGCGACAGGATTTCACTTAACATCAACAACGAAAACAAGCACCGAGAAGGGTTTGTCCTGGAACTCATACACAGGTGGAAAACTTGGCAACACGGTCACAGTCTGAACAAAACTCAAGACAGAAGTTGGTTCCAGAGCTAGGAAGGGAAACAAGGCCAGGCAGAAGGCACACAAAGGCACTGAAGGACTGATTAAAAGAAAAAGTTTTCTTTAAGATAGAGCTATGAGTAGGGTGTTTATTTTCTGCTTTTCCTACAAAATACACATATATTTAAGCCCCTATATGAGGTGACTTCAAAACAGAATTAATACTTACAGTAACTAAATGCCATATTTTGAGAAAGTAAGATTGACAAGAGTGTCTAGCATATTCTAAGCTCTTTGATTAAAGATGGGAGGCATAGTGGTCGAGTCATGGCATGCAGACATTAGAAGAAGAAATTAGAAAGCACATCTCTGTCTGTTTACACTGTCATGTTCTGAGACTTCTGCAAGTTATTTTTACACACAGAATCCCCAGTCTTGTTACAGAGTCCATCCTGGTGTGTATCAAGCTTTCTTTAATCATTCAAGGGACAGTATAGGAAAGGATACTTGGGTCCTCAGTCACAGCTAAAATTCTACTTGGTCAAACACCAGGCACCAGCGGAGATCTACAACAAAGAATATAATGTGCTCCATTGTGTAATACCAGAGGATGTAGAGCAGCCAACCTCCAAGGAAAAAATTGTAGCTATGTCTCAGTAGGTAAAGTAACAGACCAGATCAAATGCCTAATTCAACATATCCTGAAAATACAGGAATATAGTACTTTAATATTCCTTCACTCGGTGCTTTACTTAGAATGAAAGAAGGAAGATTTGCAGAAGTCAGTTCACTTATCATAAGAAAAAAAGGAGTTGGCGGTGAATGGAGGGTTTAAGTACAGAAGCTATAGAAATTGCTCAGCAATTGGCTTCGACCAGATAAAGCAGAAGGGATGGTGGATGGGAGTGGAAGGGAAAGTGGGCAAGATAAGCATGGGAGTTCCCTCACTAAATTACCCTTCCAGGATAGCCAGTGGAGCGCTCCAGTCATGAAGGCAGAACAGACCACTTCTGGGTGATACATTAAATGGACACCTTTTGGGCCAAGCTCCTGGGAACAATAAAAACCTGACTAACACTGAAAAAAAAACCGTAACCCACTCTCACCTCAATCTAATATATTTTATGGGCATACATTTCTTCTCTTACTTAATTATTCTGTTCTTGAATCATATTATCCCTGGACAATCTAAGGCTCAGTATACAATATCTCTCAGTAAGTACTCAGAGAAAACTCATTAGGCATAAAGGGGTTGGGAAATCGATGGAAATTATATAAATAAATTCTATTTAACCTATTGAACCAAGAGAGACAACTATTTATTCAAAAGAAAAATGGGCCAGCCAGAACCGTCTCTGTACGTACTAATCCCCACAACCCTTATTTCACAAGAACAATTAAATAACATCTTGGAAAGAATCTTGATTTCAGGCTCTTATCAGCTTGAGCCAGCTGATAGAGAAAGTGGGGCTTAGGGGTGAACTCTTGAACCGGGAAAGAACTCCTGCAAAGTTTCTGTCAGGTGATAGGACCTGAAAAGGTGTTTCCATTCCTTGGATTATCTTTATGACTGACAAATGATTGCCTCTTATTTGCTCTGTATGCTTGGAAACTAGTTATATTGTTGAGACTGTCACAAACAAGAGATTTCCTTCTTAGGGGAAAAAAAGTTGATCTCCCCGGTATAAGGTTTAATTAAAGGAAGAAAAGTTTAGATTATCAGCTATGTTTTTCCTGTTCCCCCCTCCTTTTGCCTAACTTCCAGAGAGTTTAGGATCCTCTTTAACAAGTAGAAGGTCTTCTGAGGGCCACATGGTGGGGAATGCCTTTAATCCCAGCACTTGGGAGGCAGAGGCAGGAATATCTCCATGAGGTTAGCTCAATTCCTGATCTACAGAGTTCCAGATCAGCCAGGGCTACATAGTGGGACCCTGTTGAAGAAGGTGGAAAGAAACACAGAGGGATACTCCCTGAGCCAAGACACACCGGGGGCGGGGGGGAGGCCTAGGCCCTATCCCAAAGGACATGACAGACTCTAAAGATCCGCTATGGAAGGCTTCACCCTCCCTGGGGAGCAGAAAGGATGTGTGTGATAGGCAGGGTTTTAGTTTGGGGGGTCGAAGGGGAGGAGGGGAGGGAGAGGGAACTGGGATTGGCAAGTAAAACAATCTTGTTTCTAATTCAAATAAAAATGGAAAAAAGAAGGTGGAAGAAGAGGAGAAAGAAGAAGAAAAGGAAAAGAGAAGGAAGAGGATGAAGGAAGAAGAGAAAGAGGAGGAAGTGGGAGGAGGGGCAGAAGGAGGAGAGAAGAACCATGCTAAATAAAACCTAGGCTTTCCTCTAGCATTTATATCCTAGTCTGTTGTTTCTCCACAGTATTGGTGAGAGCCACAACAAGAAGGTGTAACCTCATAAGTCATTCACTTGTCACCATTCATTCATTAAGTGGCTTTCATTAGAAATGTCCAATTAGATTTAATTCCTTTGTGGATTCCTAAATCTGGAATCTGTTCAGTTTTTTCTTTCTCCTTTGTACAAGAAAAAGCTGAGTTGTGATTGAGGCATAGTTTATTATTTCCCTAAAAGAATAATTTGATGTGCAAAGTCAAGTTCCAGTTTCTAAAGGCTTGAGTCCCACAGGCCTGTGACCAAGCTCTGTGGTTTGCTTTGTTATAGCTTGACTAGACCATAATTGCATAGATTGTCAATGCAAAAGGCTGACTCAATACCTATAAATCACCAAGCAATATGCATGAACAAATAAACAATTAGAATAAAACTCCCTGCTCAAATAATTTATTATCAGGAACACTGGATTATAGTGAGCACAGCACCCACTATACCTAGAGGAAATACTTAATAAACAAAATATTCATCTCCATAGCACAATGGGGCAAGCAGTGATTTATTCAAAATGTGTTATCAGAACAAAGAAAAGTTACTTTTCAGATTAATCACAAATTAAAGAAGACAGGATAAGGAGAAAGGACAGAAACATATAACAGGGATCACGTCTCTCAGACAGTTACAGAAACTTTTTTCTCACATTTTTTAAATTTAAATTAGAAACAAGATTGTTTTACATGTCAATCCCAGTTCCCTCTCCCTCCCCTTCTCCCCTGCCCCCCACTAACACCCTACCTATCCCATACCCTTTCTGCTCCCCAGGGAGGGTGAGGCCTTCCATGGGGTGGGGGGGGTCTTCAGAGTCATCATGTCCTTTAGGATAGGGCCTAGGCCCTCCCCGATGTGTCTAAGATGAGAAAGTATCCCTCTATGTGGAATGAGCTCCCAAAGTCCATTCCTATACTAGGGATAGTACTGATCTACTATAAGAGGTCCCATAGATTTCTGAGGCCTCCTCACTGACACCCACATTCATGAGGTCTGAATCAGTTCCATGCTGTTTTCCCAGCTATCAGTCTGAGGACCAAGAGCTCCCCCTTGTTCAGAATCTTTTTTAACATTTGAAATTACCTGAGTTCAAGTAATTTGAAAAGATATATCATCTTAGTCAGAAAACCTAGATACTCCTGGTTTTTGGTTGAGTTCCTTGCTCATTTTAAACTTTCTCATTGATGGTTGTTTTATTTCTTAGACATTGACCTACCAATAAATAAACCCCTCCATCTGAGCTATGGAACGCCTTACTGAACAGCACACATCGCTGCTTTGTCCTACCAAGTGCATATTATGGTCCAAAAGAAGTTCACTAAGAAACGAAAGATGTCATGTGGAACTCGTCCCTAGATGCCCAAAGACCATTTCATGCTACCAATCTCTGGCAGTATTTGGAGACTATAATATCCAGTTGGTCATCTGCTACAAACAGCAGGTGCAGCTGGAAGACTGGGTGGAGGATGTCAGAGCAGGAGAAAGCCGTGTTATGTCATCCTCCCAAGGCCCTTAATGTGGAAGGAACAGTCTTTCTCTCTCTCTCTCTCTCTCTCTCACACACACACACACACACACACACACACACACGTTGTAATCCCCACTACAACAAGGACGTGGGGTGTGGGAAAGGAAGTCCAGCAAGCACGAATTTGAAAGCTAGATTTACAAGGTAAGAGATCTGAGAGCTTCAAGTGGGGAGGGTTTCCAGCATTTCAGAGAAATCTGTTTTGTTTGTTTTTAGTCTAGACTGAGAGTACAAATGCCTAGGAAATATGCTTGAGGCCAGAAGATATCCCACGGTTGTTTTCTTCTTCCATGTAGAGCCCTGGGTTATGTGTACATGGCAGTGCTTACACCCAAGAGTTCACGTGGCTACAATGGTGCCTCTCATGCTTTCTGTGTCCAATCAGCAATCTAGGCGATTGCCACTACTTTCGGTGAATGTCCTTTCTCATCCTCCATACTACTGGTTGCCATTTAGCTGCTGGCAGTCTCTGAACTATTTCCAGTATTACTTTCTGGAGAGCAAGTTTGACCACAGGCTTACTTACCCTGCTGAAATTGCTTAGTGGCTTCTGATAAACATTCAGCTGAAATGTAGGCTTATTCTTGTATGGGTTCTGACTTTCTAAAATCATTATCTTGATTCAGATCCTGTCTTTGAAGAACAAATCACATCATCTGCAGGGAAATGGGTAGAACTGGAAGTTATATTACAGAAATCACCCAAACCCAGGAACACAAATATCACATTTTCCCTCATATGTGGAACACAGATTTTGCATGCATTTTTTAAATTGTCCTGTATTTGCTACCTATCAACTTGGGGAAATTATTTAACCTCTTTGATCCTGAAGTTCCTCATCTAACAGAAAGAATAATAATAATCCTTTATCAGTTTACTCTTAAGATTCGGTGACAGACTCTCCAAATAATTGAGAACTATGCCTAGGCCACAGTAACTCTGAAGTATTATTGTTTGACCAACTTATTATCATTAGCTACAAAAGTGTACCACAACTTACCCTTCACCCTCTCCAACTGTTTATCTTGCTTCTGGCCCATCAATAGCCTCTTGTATGTGAGTTGAGATTTGTGCCAGCCTGATATACCAAGAGACTCGTATACTTTACTTGATCGTTGACAGCTCTAAAATACCAGTCCTGGTGTCTTCACTTTCTAGATAGGGAAACTAAGAGTCAAAAAAGTGAAGCAAGCTGGTGTAAGGAACTGAACTTGTAAATAACATAGCACGAACTGGAACCAGTGCCCAATACTCCAGATATATTCTCACAACTATATTTCACCTTTATGCCAGCCAATTTCCTAAATATTTTCATTAAAGCATTTTTAGTCACACACGCTTTTCCTGGACCTTGGAGCCTCTACATTCAGAATCTATGCCCTTCCTGAACCTAGAAATGACTTTACAAGCACCTCAGCTAACTAATTCTAACACATGCAAGGTTATACAAGGCCAAATCTCGGTTATAAATGGTAATACAGCTCTGTCTGGCTCACTCTTTTGAAACTGCACTCTAGGCGGCCTACATTGCCATATAATAAGTAATGCTACCTGGAGGTGCCATGCTTGAGGGGACAGTAAAGAGATCACACCAAGATAGGGAGGCATGAAGAGGCCCTGCTGCTCAGATGTCCTATAGGCAACCCCAAGTGGCATGGAATAGAGAGGAGCTATCTCAACCAAAACCACCCACACTGCAAAATTCATGAGTCATGCATATGATCCTTGTTATTTAAGCCAGTAAATGTTAGGCTGTTTAGTTTTTCCATAACAAAATTCAGAAAGGCTGTAGAAATTTCTAATACCAATTAATCACTTTCATTTCACCTGATGACAGATTTGCCATAGTCTTCACCTGGACAGTCACCTCTACCTTCAAGTCATCACCAGCTAGCATACACAAACTGTCACTTAAAGAGGTATGAGCTGAGCTAAATCACTGGAGATGTCACAAAGTCAATCATCTTTCCTTAAATGTATAACCAGGTACTTGAGAGCTCAGATATGAAGTCAAACTTTCTACATTTATTCCTTGGTTTTTATTAAGTTCTTCTACTCAGTCTGACTAGACTTGTGTTTCCTTCAACAGGAGTTCCAGTGAAACTTCCATTTCAACCACAATGCAGAGATGTACATACAAATCCTAGGAAGCTCTCAGTTTTGTATTAATTGCTTTCACGTTAAAGTGATGAAATAGAAACAGGGGTAACATGAAGCAGAAGGATTTGTTTCAGCTCATGGTTTCAGAAAATTTGGTCCATCATGGCAGGAAAGGCATGACAAAGCACTCAGCTCATGTCACAGCAGGCACAAAGAGCAACAGAAGACTACCAGGAAGAATATCCCAAAACCTACAGGATCTCCCAAAAATTACACCACCAATTGGAGACACATTTCAGATTCAAACTGTAACAGTATCTAGCAGGAGTTTTGGCTGTATTGCGATATATATTGGAACACTGATTATATTTCATAACAAATATTTATTTCTGTTTCCTCATGTGAACTATTAACCTTTTTGAAGAAAAGCAGCAATATATCCCTAACACCCAATGCTTAGAATGTGAAGAAATATCATTTTGGGTGAATAAACAAGTAGGTGAGGGGTTCTGAATAAACAATTCATACTTGTGGGAGACATCAAATGGAAGAGATCTCAAGCTCATGAGGAATTTAGTGTTGGTCCACATCCTATCCAATTCTTATCTCTTTCTTAGTGATGCTGCCATGCTGCCATAGGCATCGTTTGGGGGCTGCTTCATCCACAAAGCCACACAGCTTTGTTAGGCATCTTCACTTGGGCAAATGACAGTCCAAATCAGATGGCAGGACTGTAAGGAAAGCCACTGCCAAAAGTCTCATATAGATCCCTTTTCTCCTTCTAGCCATTTTACAACATGTCATCTAGATGCCCAACCTTGCCAAACAAAATCTAGTTAATCTTTACAGTGCCATTCCCCTTTATGGACTGTATGATAGGGCAGTGCCATATGGTGAAAGTACTATTGAAAGGACTCTGCTCTTACCTGATGAGCAGGTTTGCATTGCACTAAGAAAATAATTTGCCTCTTGCATCATCCATTGTATTTCCCTTGTGGTTTCTGCTGAATGGAAAACACATTCAAAGAAATACTGCAAAGCAATACCACCACTATTAATGAGATGAGTAAGAAGTTCTACAATTAATTTTTACTGCAATGTAGAACATAGACATGTGCCTATGTATGCATGAATTCTCATGATGAGAGGTGACACTCTTGGGATATTCCTGATGAGTTGCAATAAGCATCAGTGGAGCCCACTGCTATTGCAGGACGGCAGTACCATTCGAGGACATCTTGATCTCAAAATACAGAAAATTCCAGTGCACCAATCAGTTAGTCCTTCAATATGCTCTCTTGCTTTGGCTGATTAAAATGCAGCAGGTTAGCCTTAGAAGGAAATGTGGAATTTATCTCATTGTTGCTGTGATTACAGGTTGTGTGTTTATTATAGCTTTAATCATGTCTACATTCTTTCTCAGAAGGAGCTGTTTGAAGCCTGCAGAATGCTGAGGTTTGGACACATTTCTGAGGTATGCCACCACAGTTTCTGATTGGGCAGCCACTCTCAGACCATGTAGGCCTTATGCTGTTGACTCACTAGAGGGCTGCAACTTGGGAGCTTGATGTCAGCATGCAAGAATGTCAGGCTGCTCTCTCTGGCAACCACGCTCCTGCCCCCCTCAACTCCTTGCTCAACCCAAGGCTGCCTAGGTTTACACTCTGGCCAATCTCCTGCCTGAGCTTTTCACTGCTCTGGTTATCATGCTTCAGCAAAACAGAAACAAAAGCAAAGGGACGAACAAAAAATCTAGATGTTTGTTGGCAACCCTAAACTCTGGTTGTGATGGAGATTTGTGAGACTGGGTTTGGTTGTCTGTGTAGCCCTCTGCAACACACACACACACACACACACACACACACACACACACACACACACACACACACACACTCTTTCCCAAAAGGAAACACTAGAATGCAGCGTGTAATCTGTCAGCAGGCATAGCACGATTTCTAAATTATGGAGGCATTATATGCTACTTTACTCCTAGTTACTTGATTTGCTTCAAATTCTCCTAACTCTGACTATTTCGCCTTCAATTGGACTTAGGACTGTCTCTGAGGTGTTTTACAGTTCCATGATCTGAAATAACTAGGAGATTTTTTTTTAGGGGAGTGGCTTCCTGGAGCTCATGGGGCATGACAGAGATGCCAGACAGCTTGAAGCCTGGCTCAACAAGTGACTACTTTTGAGCACTATCTAATTTCCTATCCTCTGTCTTCAGCATCAGCCTTCATTTAACAGAAAAGTGTCGTGTGTCTGTGTTCATTAGCGTGCCCGGGTTCACTGAGTCTTTTCAATGGTTGTTGTGATTTTAGGCAACTGAAAGCAATAAACCTATTAAAAGATCCTCGGATCCAGGTAGATTCACAGGCAAGGTAAAGCAATCGATCATATGATATATTAAGCAAATGTAGAATTGGTGATTTGGAGGAACTAAGTATTCCCTAAAATGTGTGTAGGTACAAATACTAAGGTTGTTTGATTCTCTTAGCAAACCAGGTTGAGATAAAATTGCCCTCTTGGATCCTGTCTTCATTTCATTTTTTTTTTTTTTTTACCCTGATGAATGGCTACAACTTCAATTCCTCATCTGTCTCTGTGCCCTCCAAGATTATCCAGTTTGGCTAATGCAGTGAGTAAATCTCCCCCCAAAATATTCCTCCTAACCTTCCAAACTTAATAATGTGACTTTTATGGAAAAATATCCTTAAAAATTAGCTCAATATGAATTAACTTAACTCAGTGGTCCAGGTAGGCAAGAAGTCCAAGAATAAGTGTCCTAGTAGAATCATACAGAGAAAAGACTAAGGGACAAGAGGAGATGGCAGACGCTGCAGAGGTAACTTCCAGACAAAATCTTTCTGAAGACACTGGAAGTTTCAGCAAATTCCCCCACATAGCCTCTGTGAGGGACAAGGTCCTGCTGACATCCTAACTGAATTTCTCACCCATAAAACTGTATGTTGATTTCTGTTGCCCGAAGGCCATGGAGCTTGTAACCACTGGATGGTAGGCAGAGAAACACTCAGTTGCAAACTCTATGCCATATGAGGAATAATGCATGCAATGCAGTTCTGGGTGAGAAAACGCTAGTTGTAATGTCCTTTATTAAAGTTCATGAGTTAGCGAGACATGGTACTTCATGCCTTCAATCCCAGCATTCAGGAGACGCAGTCAGGGTAGCCAATAATTACAAGGCCAATCTGAACTAACTTGTAAGTTCTGGCCATACTGAGCTACATAGCAAGTCCTTATCTCTTTTGCTCAAAAGAAAATAATTAATATTCAGTTTGAAAACTGACATCTTAAAAGGTAAGAAAATACTAGCACTTCAGCAAAAGAGAGATGCTAATACCCTATCAGAAAGAAGTACTTATCATTCCTGTTCATCTCACTGATACTGTTGATGACATAGCTCAGTCTGGACAAATCTCGCCTGTTTTACTGAATTTTACTCTAAGTTTCTTGCATTTTAAGTGTTGACTCAAATACAAACAGGCAAAGGGCACTCTGTGGACATGACCAAACATTTCTAAGTTCTGAGATGCAACCACAGTGGCCAGCTGTGGTTTATGAAACAACTGACCCTTTAAAAAATACTAAAGATGTGCACGACAGCCAAGAATGAAGGCCTGCTCTCCTCCCCCAAGCCCCCAGTTACTTACAGTCACCATCACTTACCCTAAGGGCAGAGAGAAGGGCTTTGTTGGAGCCTGAAGTAGTGATCTCCTTCATCTTCCTTAGTATCTCCTCTTTCTTTTCTATGATGATTTAATTTGCACTCCATCCATTTAAAAAATATCCAGGCGGTATGTGTGTAGGGGGAGGGGGATTCCTTTAGAAGAAAAGGAAACAGTTTTTCACCAGGGAGAACTGAAAACCCAATCATTTTTCTGATCTTTCATCATAATCATTAACACACATTTACTAAAAAGGGCAAATATTTCAGGTAAAATATAAGCTATAAACTGAGAAAAAAAACTTTAAAACTGGCACTGTCTCCTCCAGCTCTCAATTTCAGCTTAAGAGTTCCGTGGAGATTTTAAAGTAATACGTAACCCAGTGAAATGGACTTTTACTGTCTGTTTATGAAGGTGGCTAAGAATATGCAAGATTATGAAAATTGTTCAAAAGCCAAGATTCATATGGCAGCTGTTAGAGAAGACCACAATGAAGGGGGACACACCAATTTTTTGTCATGGAAATAGCCTGCAAAAAAGAGATTCCCTTGAAGGCTCCCTCTGAACATTAGAGGGATTTAAAATAATTTCAGGAATATAGAGAGAAATGGGCCTTCTTAATAATGTACTATTATCCTCAAATGGAAATTAAGACTACAAAACTCTAATTCAATAATAAAATGACAAACAACCCAATTTTTTTATTTTTTAAGATTTATTTATTTATCATGTATACAGTGCATTCCAGAAGAGGGCACCAGATCACATTACAGATGGTTGTGAGCCACCATGTGTTTGCTGGGAATTGAATTCAGAACCTCTGGAAGAACAGTCAGTGCTCTGTTCTAACCCCTGAGGCATCTCTCCAGCCCCACAACCCAATTTTTTAAATGTGCAAAAGGTTTAAACAGATGTTTTACCAGAGAAGATAATGAATGGCTAATAAACAGATGTTTTACCAGAGAAGATAATGAATGGCTAATAAACATTGAAAACACACTGGGCATCAATATTCATCAGGAAAATGCCCATGAAGCCACTTGAGTCTGTCAGAAGCAAGCAAACAAACAAACAAACAAAAAACAGACACCTGTTGGCAAGAATTCGAAGTGGAGACCCTCACACAGTTTTCATTGGAGTATAAAATGACATAGGCACTTAGAAAATCAGTTTGACATTTCCATAAATAGTCAAATAGTGGTTATCTGTGTAACAGTCTACTCTATGAGGTCCACCTAAGAGGGGAAAAATACATTCACACAAAGACATAAGCAGGAATGTTTAGCAGAATTACTCATCACAGGCAAGTGGTAGGGAAAGCTAGAATGTCCTTCAACCACTGAGTGGAAAAGTAAAACATGGCATATGGCTTTCCCACACACTACTTATTATCTGCAGAGAGACTGAAGCAGATACCATTTATAGGCCTGAAAAACATACTAAAGCGATGATGACTCCTTCTATATAAGATATTCTATGCAAAATTCCTTCTATGTAATATATAAAATGTAAAGCCATTTACAAAACACGTTAGTGGTTCCCTGGGGCTTGGGGTGAAAACAGGCATGAAGCGCATTAGGATGATAAAACTGGTCCCAAATGATTGTGATGCTGGTTACACTAAGTGTATTTACTAAAACTCACGGCACTGTGCTCTTAGAGCAGTGCTTCTCAACCTTCCTAATGCTTCGACCCTTTTAAACAGTCCTTCATGTGGTGGTAACCCCCCAATCATAAAATTATTTTTGTTACTACTTCATAACTGTAATTTTGCTACTGCTACAAATCATAATGTGACTTTGAGGCCAGAGTGGTCTACATAGCAAGTTCCAGGACAGCTAGAGCTATATAATAGAGACCCTGCCTCAAAAAAAAAAAAAAAAAAAAAAAAAAGCAATTAAAAAAATTTGACATAACACTCATTCAAACAATCTTTCAATATCAAACATGAATCCTTTTATCCATAGCCATCTATCCTGCCAATTTCCCGGAGTTCTAGATTTTCATTCCCTTTTATTTATCTACTTAAACAGTCTTCCATTGCTTCAGGGTAAAGTCTAACTAAATTTCACAAGCCCTTTTCCCCATTTCTTGTCTCATTTCTCTCTACAGCTCTGTGCTCTGAGCATGCTAAACTACTGGCTAGTCCTCAGAAACGGAGGGCTCTCTTAGCACTTGGTGCTTTTGTACATGCTGTTCCTGCTGCTAGGAATGCACTTAAACCCCTGTTCTGCTGGCTAAATACCATTTGTCCTCAAAGACCCATCTCTGGGAAAACTGCCACAACCTTCCCCAGTTTAAAGAAACGTCCTTTCTGAATGCCAGGCTGTCTGTGCTTAACTCTATCAAGAGTGTTTCTTGCTGCTATTTGGCCTCTTTGCCTTCTTGCCTGTCTTCTTCACTAGCATGCCTTTCTCACTTGAGACGGCATTGTCACAGTGCCTGGTAGGTACATGGGAAGCAGTCGACTCTGCAAATCAAACGTGTCCTTTGGCCTCTGGGTGTAATCAACACATCCTGCTATGACAGGTGTGGTCAGCACAGTACACGAGAAAGGACCCTGGCTCAGAAGTGAGAAAGATGCCAGTCATGGGCTCTGATAAGACTGCCTCTCTGATCTTAGAAAGCTCAGTTTCCAATACTTGGTTTTCTCTTGTAAAAAAATGTGATCATTATTGCCCATTTGGAAGGGCTGCTGAAGGGACTGAAATGGTGAGAGCATATATAGTCATTGGTAGGGTTGGTACTGTAAGCATGGCAGCTTTGGAAGCACTGTTCCAGCAGTGTCTGGAACATCTACTGAAGAAAGGATTGTGCGTCCCTGGAAGCAAACACGCTACTGATCAGGTTGCAATTATCAAGTGGAGCTTATTTTTCTATTTTTGCTTTATTTTTGAAAAGGTTTGATACACTATGCCTCAAAAACCAGGTAACAAAAGATTCATACCCCTAATTCTGACTCACAACCTTAGTCTTCACCAACCTCTGTGGGTAATCACCTTCGATAAGATTCTTTCCCTCCTTCCAATGTTTCAGTTTTAAATACTAACAGTTATAAAGACATTATCTTGTTCTCTTCTTTAACATAAAATGGACACTGCTATGTCTATATTGTTGGGAATGTTGTTGTCATTGTTTTATCATAATATTTAAATAGAGCGGACCTTCTAAGTTTGTCCAGGATCTTAATCAAGGACACAAGAGCGTGGGAAAGGGGATTTTATTCTGGGCCTCAGATCTCAACTTTGAACTGTAAGTGAGAAGTGGACGCTTGACCCACAGCCTCAGCTCTTTCAGAAGGGAACCACAAAGAGGCTGCATGACTGAAATGGTGAAAGTCAGTCTGAATGCTATTACGGGCCACAGGCAACAACCAGCAAGCACATAAAAAGGTCTGTTGCCTTGACTGAGGTCAGAGTGCTGCACAGAGCTCCGGCACATGAACAGGGAGTCCTCAGCACTACTGCTTCCTACCTGGCTCTCATCTTAAGAATAGCATGTTCTTGGGGAGCCTTCAGCTATAAAAGAACTATGCTTAGAATTGTAATCAAGCTCCATTTGAGGGCTGCATTTCATTAAGGTACACCTTCATTCATTTATAATCACAGAAATCTAGAATTGATATTACAACAAGGTCATTTTGGCTTAGGAAATAGATTTTTTTTCTTTTAGTTTGTCCACAGACCGTAAATGATAAAGTTACAAGCATTGAGTTATTAAAGGCTTGGTACTGTGTGGATTTTGGAATAACAGACCTGTATTTTGTGGGCAAGTGTGACTATGGCCCAGGTTACTATTATCCTCTCTCCTTGGCTTTGATTGTTTTTCCTCAGACAGTCCTGAGTCAGTTACCTGAAGCCTTTGAACCTTTGCATGTATAACTTTAGTTAATAGCCACACACCACTCACAAATCTCTGCCATTGCTTTTATTAAAGATCTTCACATGAACCAGGTACCGGAGTCTGGGGGAAATCCAATGGGCTGGCCAAGCAGAGGCAGCAGATTCACTCCCAGAAAATTACTGTCACCCCAATTCAACTTGTCATGCACACATATGTCAGAAGGAGAACGGATGGGTGTGCAGTTCTGGACTTTGAGCATAAGAACGGCAGACTGTCCCATTTTGCTTCCTTAAACATCTAGTTCAGGCACTCAAATATCCTTGGAAGTGTTTATACTTTATCACCTCTGGAGTTAATTCATTCTATGATTTCCTCTAAGCAGTTTTTCTTTCTGTATTCTAGCCATTCCAGGCTACTTTTAGCATGTACCCCAAAAGCTGGTGGATACTTCTATGTTTATAGAACCAATTGCCTCTGTGGTTTTTCTCTACTGTCCCCTTGACTTTTGTGATTATGGCTGAACAGTCCTGAGTCTAATGAGGCAGCTTCTAGGTCTTTTTCTTTAACTGCCCTGAAGATCTTTTTCCAAACTATCTTGAAGAAATCTTGCAGGGGTCAAAAACACACATACATACATTTCCTATTGTTATGCCAATAAAAGGTACCCTATTTTCTAGTGATGATCATGATTTGTGTTTTAATTAAAAGTAATTGTTTCAAGTCAGGATCTCTGCAGTGATCTTTCAGCCTTCCTCTTTTGGTAAACAAGAGTTCAGTGGCAATGGAATTACCTCTCCTTCTCCAGGTTGTCTTCCCCCTCTGCTGTGATTAGGAGCACTCTCCCTTATCTACAAAGGTTTCTTCCAAAACTGGCTACCAGCCTCCCATCTTATAAGACAGGGCACAACTCACTGCTTTCACTAAGAATGATATTAAAATTAGAAACACATCTTTCAGTTCCCCCTGAAATTAACCCTTGAATGTTTTGCACCTAATTTCTACCCTCAGTGTTTAATGATATTTGCAGAGTGCTTAAGTGTGGAAAGCACCGTTTTAAGTGAACTATACTATTCATAGTCATATAAGTCTCAAAAAAATCCCTTTGACATCCACACTACATTGCTCTTATCTTACAAATTAATCAACAGTGCCACAGTGCAGTTTATTAATTTGCCATAAGCCATAAAGTTTTATGACTAAAAGCTCTGCCTAAAACTTGCGTTTGATGGAGAAGGGAGAAAACTAATTGCCTTCAAAGTTACCCTAGCTAGAGTTAGAAGCCTGCCCTAATAAGAGCTTTTTCCACCATCAG